GCCATAGTTTATGAAATGTATGTTGTCCACAAAGGTTGTTGTAGATATTGTAGATGAAAGTCATAATAGTAGCTTGTCATGTGGGTCGCAGATGATTGCTTATGAAATGTATGTTGTCCACAAAGGTTGTTGTAGGAAGCTGGCGGAAGCTGTCGGAGTTGTAAGCCATGATTGTTGTAGTTGATCAAATACTTTGTATTAGGGAGTTGTGATAACATTGGTAGGTCGCGGATGCTGAAATTGAGAGCAGCATGAGCTGTGAACCACGTAGGTCGTAGTTGGTCACATATGTTGTAGAGGTGAACTGTGATGATGTTCACGGGGGCTGGAGTCAGAATCTACAAGAGTTGTGGACTACATAGATACATAGTTAATCAAATAGATTGTCGTAATGTTATGACGATGTTCACATGTCGTAGGGGACAGAGTCGGGAGGTGCACAAGTTGTGAGCCAAGTAGGTCATAGTTGGTCATGTAAGTTGTAATGGACCTACATGGTGAGTTATGATAAAGTTCATAAGTCGGAGGGCCCAGAGTCAGGATCTGCACAAGCTGTGAACCACATAGACCATAATTGGTTGCATGGGTCGTAATGGTGAGCTGCGATGACGTCCATAGGCCGCAATGACTTAAGGCGATAACTAACCGAGTTATGAGCAAGTTAGTCATAGTTGGTCAAATTGGTCATAGTGGTGAGTTGTGATAACATTTGTAGGCCACAAAGGCTGGAGTAGGGAACTATACAAATTGTGAACCGCATAGGCCATAGTGGTGGAGAGAAAGTCAAAGTTTTCGGGGAGCACTATTACACGGTTTTTAAGAGGCATCGTTGCACTATATGCTCGATGCATTGTTACACCATTATCAAGGTATGTTGTTGCACCGTATTCGGGGTGCGTTGTTACATCATCTTTAAAGTGTGTTGTTGCATCTTATTCGAGGTGCATTATTATATCGCCTTCGGGAGAGGGCATTGCACTGTATGTGTGGTGCAATGTTACATCATCTTCAAAGTGTGTTGTTGCATTTTATTCGGGTGCATTATTATAACGTCTTCGGGAGACGTCATTGCACCGTATGTGGGGTGTGTTGTTACACCGTCTTTAGAGTGCGTCATTACATCGCCATCATGGTGTGTCGTTGATCCGCAACTGATGTGCGTTGTTACGTTATCATCAGAATGTCGCTGCATTATATTTGGAATGTGTTGTTACACTATTTTCGGAGTGCATCGTTGCATAGTGTATTGGACAACATAAAGCTCCACCGGGGATTTCACTGTTCCACAACTCTAAAAGGGACTTCGCTGCAATGAGCAGGTCGTGGTTGACGATGGCCAATGGGTGGTTGTCGGTATTGGTCGAAGGTCCTAACAGTCAGAGGTGGCAACTGCCAGAGTTGGTGACAACTGTTGGAGGCAACGATGATTGTTGGAGGTGGCGAAAGCCAAGGCGGAGGCGACCAGTTGGATGGAAGCGATGACAGTCGGAGGTGGGAAAAGCCAGAGTTGGTTGAAGGCATTGGTCGGAGTTGGCGATGGCGACTGCCAGAGTAAGAGGTATTTGTGAAATTTACGATGCAAAAGTGATGTTGGATTTCAACACTTCCTTCAAGCTTTGGTTTTCTTCTTGCTCAAGGTTTAGGCATCCTTCTAAAGAGATGGTTAGAGCCATATTTATAGAGTTCATGTTGAAAAAAATAAAAAGAATCCATACCTTTCTGATCAGAAAATCTGGAGATATTTTTTTTATCAGACAGTGTTTGATGAATCTTTGAGGCCTTAATGATGTCACAATTGAGCGGTCTTAGGCTCATTGGATTAGTCTCTCCGAGATGCTTGATTCGACTATAAACATGTCAGATTTGGAATATGTTTGATATTTCAATTATGCATTAAAATTTTTTAGAATAGTTTAACAATTTGATCTATTTTTTATTTGGCTCATACTGAAAAAAATTTGGTATCATTGTGCAAGTATCGTTGAACCGATTTTGACTACAAGATTGCTGAAATTGAATTTCTGATGTTTTTTTAATCAAAAATCAATTTTTTTATTTAAAAATCACGACTTATCAATATTGAAAAAAATTTGGTATCATTGTGCAAGTCTCGTTGAACCGATTTTGACTACAAGTTTGCTAAAATTGAATTTCTGATGTTTTTTTAATCAAAATTCAATTTTTTTATTTAAAAATCACGACTTATCAATATTAAGAATTTTAACAATCATACTAAAAATATTATTACTATAAATTTGTATATGAGAAAATATTTGTATACATTTGAGGTATTAAAATATTAAAATATTATTGTAATTAAAAATGTTTATATAATAGTTGTTTTTTTTTCAAGAAAAAATATTTGACAAGGTTTTTTTTTTTTTGATAAATGCAGCATTTTATTAACTCTGCCATCGTTTGTCAATTAAATGAAGCCTTTGACTAAATTACGAAGCCTAGATTTGTTTAACAATTAAATAATTCATTTAAAATTACAAGAGGCGTTTGCATAAATAACACTCAATTTTTATCTATTTATATATATTAAAATTTAAACTTCAATATTTACATGTAAATCCTTCCTTTTCTTAACATCATAAAAAAACATATCAGCATTATTAAATTTTGTCTTAGTAAAATGTATTTTCAAGCATAATTTATAATATTAAAACATTATAAGTGTAGATATCCAATTTTAAGAGTTAGATATGTAAACACATAATAATTGTGTGGGCATGCATGTAATTCTTCCAATAAAAAATGCAATAACAATTATATAAATACAATATTCTTACGACCTCTGCAATAAAAAAACAATAAATTCATTGTAATTATCAAGTACACAATGGAGCAACAATGGAGATGCCTTCCTCCTCGCCCGCTTCCCGGCTCAGATGTATCACTGAAAGCATGGGAGAGGTTGACAATTTTCTCGCTAGTACTGACTAGCACTTAGCTCCTTCGCGGCAAGAGAGAACTCCGGCGGCGGTGGTGATGGCGGCCACCATGGAAGACGACTTGGCTCCAAGGCTAGACGCCCTTGCATAGCTCGCCGCCGCCCCTGCTCCGGACGGAGTAAAATAAGCGCCGTTGAGAAGAAGATCACCTTCCGACCTCCAGTTCCAGCCCTTCCATGCCCTTTGATCCCTCACCACCCTCTTCGTCACTTCTTTGGCGAATGGGTTCGCCGGAGCAAGGTATCTGTTTCCTTGGCTGTTGATGGTCGGCTCTGCGCTGCCGCCAATGGCGTACATCTCCCAGTGAGTGTAGTCATTGTTGACCACGTGGAAGTAGCCATGCCTGCACCTGGTTGCAGCACGTAAAAATCTCTTTTTTATGATTTACTGATGGGAAATTTTAATGTCAGATGAAGGAGGAGGAGAAGTTGCCTCGGCTTTCGCTGAATCAGCCCCTCGCCAAAAGCAATTGTCACCTGCATCACTTTATCTTTACCGTACGAATCGCTGTGGCCGAGCAGCATCACCTGGAAAGATTTAACATAAATACCATTCAACTTTTATGTATTTACATTTCAACAATTTCAAATCACAACCATACCTCGTTGTGATGCGTGAAATAATTATTAGAAATAGTAATGGCGGTGGATCCGATGATGGCATCAATAAGCCCATCGGCGCAGTTGGAAAGGGAACAGTGATCCACCCAAACATGACTCCCGCCGAAAATCGACACGCCGTCGCCGTCGGCCATCGTCCTCCATCCATAATGCGTCGGCGAGCTCCTTACCATCGCATTCCCCGTCGGCTTACAGTCATGAATGTGCAGGCCATGAATGATAATGTTGGTCACGAACTGAATCGTGATGCAGGCGCCATTGGCGATGTGGACGCTGACACCGCGACCGTCGATAGTCTTGAAGCTGTTCATGATTAGTTCCTGTTTGAGGGTGATGGTCATGTCGCGCTTGAAGACGATCCAGAGAGGTTCGTTTTGTATCACGGCGTGACGGAGAGTCCCCGGCCGGGGGTTCACGGCGTCGCCATCGCTGGGATCGGTGACGGTGTAGTAGCGGCCGTCGCGGCCTCCGATGGCGTTGCGGCCGGATGCCGCAGTCTGTTAGCCGCTTGCGGTTGAGGTGCCAGTCAGAGTCGCAGCGCCAGCAGTCGTCGATGGGGTTGCCGGTGGAGCAGTATAGGTAGCCAAGGCGGCGTCTTGATGATGTGCTGTTTATGGGCCTGGTTTCAAATGAGAGTTAGGGCCCGTTTGTGGAAACTTATAATTACGGGAGAATTTTCTTAACTCCGCTGTATTTTTTGGATCACACATTTTGCCCGCTTATCCAAAAACTCCGTACACATTTTACACTAAACGCAGGTCGCGGGTTAAACCCCGCGGTCTACCCACGAGCTTCATTGCAGGATAAACTGCTCATTTTGAAAGACAAAAACTGCCCTAAAAGAACTCTTGAGGGACATTTGGGACAACTTGTGTTTATTCACATAAACAATTTATCCTGAAACACGGCCCACAAGATTAAACACGTTGTCTATATTTAGTATAAAAACTTAACCGTGTTTTCAAAAAGCTGCCCGAGCATATTTTCTTGATCGCTAATGATGTGGTTGAGGTGGAGTAGATGGAAGGCAATGAATGTGATAACAGATCCAATAAATGGAGGAAGGAGAAGGAAGGGGAGTACAGGGGAGGGGGATGAGGAAGGAAGGAAGTTCAACGAACACCACCGCATGGTATTAATGAAGAGAGCGTGACAGTTCAGTACATTGTAAATTTTGTTTTTTTTGGAAGATTTTACTTAATTATTATTCCATTCTTATGTATTTACATATCTAATACTTAAATTTTCAATTTTTATTTACATACCACATTTTTGAAAATCAGAAAATGTATAACATCGGTGTAAGAACCGTCACATGATTGTTGTGGTTGATACTCTTCACAGAGAGCTATGGTGTGATGTGAACAATTTGGGGGATATAAATGCAAAAAAATAAGTTTGGGTGTTGAATGTGTAAATGTATAGAATAAATTATATATCATATTGATTCTATTATAAGATTTCATGAAGCTGAAAAATAATTTTATTCTTTTTTTTAATTTTAAAACTAACGAGAAAATAGATTAAACAGTAATGTAAAAAAGCTTGGCCCTGCAACAAAAACACAATGCCTCTTTTCAGCTCATGTCGTAGCAGATCCGTTCCCCTTTTCAATACAGTTTTACTTCCGAAAACTGCAGTTAAATAACCCCAAAAGCATGCCGAGAAATTTGCACAGAACAGAATATATTTGTCCCGAGATTTCACAGATCAATAGCTTAATTTTATCAGAAATGCAACAAATTCAACCCACTCTGTTTTTCCATAAAGAAAAAGAAAGCAAGAGAAACAGAGTAGTGCACCTGGAAGCTGTGGTGTTCCCGCCGGCGAGCAGCGCGAGAAAACACAGAGCAAATAGCGGGAGCAACTTCAAGCACTTCGCCATTGCCGCTTCTCTCAATCCCCCTTCCTTTCTTAACACTCCTCCCTCAATCTGGTCTGTTGGAAAGATACAGGGAGGGAGAAAACGAGGCCAGCTTCTGACAACAGAGCTTATTTATAGACCCCATTAGAGCTAATCATGGTGATTACTCTTCACCTGTATGTATAAAGCTCTTAAACTAAAAGTTTAATTAGACTTGCAGCGTGATAGTGAGAAATTAGATAAATATATACATTTTTAATGTAAATGATTAAAAAGTTGAATTTTTTTTTTGGAAAGAAAATCACGTGACAATCATTTGGTGGTTATTCTGAGGATTTAAGTTGAATAATGTTGATTTTAATAACATAAATGTGAGATTTTTAGGTGATAAACAAGAGGGGTTCTTACATATGAATCATATGGGAGACTCATATTTACTTATCTCACATCTGAAATCCTTAATTTATAGATCTTAGGCCATTCTTTAAGGGAGCTTTTGAGCTCTTTGTACCCTTCAATCTCATCGCTGTGGTCGGAGTGAGGTGGAAGTAGATGAAAGATAGGCGTTGTGGAGGTCTTTGTACATCACGATCTCGCTGCTATTGTAAGAGTGCGGCAAAAGGAGGAGATGAGAGTTTCAAAGGTCTTTGTACGCTCTATTCCTTTCTCAATGATTTTAGATAGAAACAAGGCGAAAGAAGGCAAAGATGAGAGCTTTTGGCATCATTGTTCGCCTTAATCCCATTGATAGAAGTGGGGCATAAGGAGAAAAAAATACAGGAGCTATGAACTTCTTTGTTCATTGCAATCTTGTTGTCATGTCAGAACTCTGACACTCATCTCCCCATTGACTGAGACATTACAAGAGTCTAGAGATTATAACTTAGAAGTTTTTCATGTGAGATACATAAATTGAGTATTTCACCTTCTATGTAGGTAAAACCCCCTAAAAATAATTACATATTTATAGAAAATCATGTAAGAAAAATATTGCTATAAATGGTGTCCCAAAATTATCATTTGCATGAAACACTCAATAAGCTTATTTCACACTAATGTTTTACATATTATATATATATATATATATATATA